ACAAACCCTGTGCATGTGGCCTTGGCATCAACCACCACTCGCTGCCATAATTTCTTTTCTCTTCCTCACTTGTCCTTGCTCAGGTTGTTGCAGTGGATTTGTCGTTCTCCCTGTTGGTGCCGGGAACGCGGAGGCCACATGTTCTGCAGGGAGTGCAGGGTGGCAGTAGGAAAAGGATCTTGTTGTTTGCTCGTTCATACAGTGGGGTTTATTCATATTCTGTACCTGGTTTTCATGGTTCTGCTTCTCTTCTGTGCTCTTTGTTCTTCCTCCCTTGTTGGGTTTGGAGCACAAGCCATGGGTGCTCCATGTGGGGCAGATTGGACACCCCTGCAGATGTTTTTGTCTTGTACTGAATTTGGAGTAAATATTCCATGCCCCAGGAGGGGTAGTTCTAATTTTGAAATCCAGATTTTCAGCTGAGCTTAGGGAATGGAATTTGCAACTGTGGTTGTCTTGGTCATTAAATATTAAAGTGAGGCTGTGCCTGCTGGAGGGCTCAGCCAAACACTGAAGACTCTGAGCTGTCAGAGGAAGGGGCTGGGGGCTCCAGTGTGTACAGGGATGATACTGGACCACGCTAAGGATAAGATCCCAGAAATACTAGTACTGCTCAGATTGATGTGGATAAGCCTTCTGTGATACACTCACTTTGCTCTGTTTGCCTTTAAAAAGACAATACTAGAGATGGGCTGTGAGAGTAGGACTGGGGTGGCCAGACCTCACCCACCTCTGCATTAACACTGCAAAATCAAATCAGGAGCCATCCTGCATCTTGGCTTAGAAAACCTGCTGCTGGCTGCAGGTTCCATGGCCCCAGCTGCATTCCAGCTTGGAGCAGGGACATGTGCTTTGGGCCACAGCAAGAACTGTCATTTCAAGCACAGGTCAGGGCTGAAGCCATAAGCAGTAAATCTGTGAGCTTCTAGCCTCCTCCTTTCCCAAAGTTCCCAAATACTGCAATGCTTCCTTCCTCAGACAGAGAACAGCCCCACGATGGAGGGTCACAGCCAAACGAGCTCATGGAAATATGACAAATGCAATTAGGTGAGCTGAGCTCCCAGCCCCCCCACCTCTCCAGGGACCTGCTGCATGGCTGGGCACTTGCCAGCAGCACTCAGGAATACATTTAGGAAGCTATTCCAGCAGCCACTGCTCAGACTAGATAACAACACTTCCCCCCTCTTCCTGACCTCGCTCTTCCCTGATGTGTCTGCCGGGAGGGTGTTGTCTAGGAGCACCAACCACCTGGCTCTGCCAGGGACAGGCTGCAGTTCACACACCAGAGGTAGAAACAGAAAATCCTGTGGCCAGTGTGTGCTTATCCCAGAGGAATAGGCACAGCTCACGCCTAGATCCTGCCAGGCTCCTGTGCTGTGACTGGGGGCGAGGTGGGGGGTGAGGTCCCTGGGCAGCTGTGGGGACTCCACTTGTGCTCCCAGAGACCAGCACCCACTCAATCACTGCCTGGAGCAAATGGATGCCAGGCAGGCAGTCGTGGGAGCCAGGACCAGAGCACTGCTCCCAGCCAGGCTGGGAAAGGCAAATCCATTTCTGCTGTGTCTGCTCAGGGAATGCTGGATTTGTAAATTGTCCTCCAGAACTGGCAGGTGAGAAACACACAGTTCTCGGGACTCCAGGCTGGAGCTGGAGCTGCAGATGGTTTCCACCTGGGAGATTCCTACTGAACATGCAGAATCAGGAAAAAGGTGGTTTATTTTAGTTTTCAGTTGATTTAGGACCTTTAATCTTTGTCAGGGTAGGTGGTGATGACTCTGCCTTAATGCCACAACTCCCAGTGCCTCAGCAGCCAAGGGCTGCCCAGGGCCCCCTGACAGCAGGGACTCCCCAGCAGTTACAGCCTTGCACAGGTTTGAAAGAATGAAGTTGCTGAACAAGAAAATGCTGGGATTCTTCCAAACAGGGAAAGCTTGTGAAAGAGCAACGTACTAATGCTGCACATTAAATGTGCCCTGACGCATCTTTACCCCCTGTTAAAGAGAGGAGGCACTTGGATATAATTGGTTCTTGGCTGCAGCAGAGCTTGGCTGGTACAGTAATCCCTTGGGAATAACACAGCTAATTAAAGCCTAGGAACTGGTGACCAGCAGCTTCTCCTTTCTCCCTGGCTGTGTCTGTGCTAATCAGAGGTAGGGAGATCTCCTGGACATTTTGTGCTGAAATGTGCTAATCAAGGAAGGAAGGATTCAGCTTCAGAGCTTGGTGCTCTGTCAAATCCTAAATATCCCAATGGGATGAGCTGAGGGGGATTTGGATCCTGGTGGGCGGGAGGGGATCAGCAGTATCAGTCCCAGGCCTCTTCCCAAGTGCTGGATTGTGGCCTCCTGCTGCCTCACTTGGGGCTGGTGTTTTGGGAGATGGATTGTAAGATGTGAACTGGAGAGAGGCCTATTTTTTAATTCTTTAAGAGATGTTAAATCCCCCAAATCTTTGGTGAGACTGGAGGAACTGCAGGTGTTCAGCTCCTCTGAGGGCCAGGTCTTGGGACTCTCAGAGAGTCCAGAATTAGCTGTTCTTGGCCAGGTTGAACAGGGCTTGGAGCACCCTGGTCTAGTGGAAGGTGTCCCTGCCCATGGCAGGGCATGGGACTGGATGATCTCAATGTCCCTTCTAACCCAAATCATTCTGGGATTCTGTGAGGTCTAAACCCCAGCCCATCTGCAGCCAAAAGGATTAAGCCAGTCTCTGAGGGTACAAACAGAGGAATAAGAACCTCTGCACAGGGCAGAAGGGAGACAAATCCCAGTGTCAGTTCTGCTGTCAAAAATGGAGGGTCTGAGCCACAAGTATTATGGAAATCCTGGAGAAAATTTTTTATAGGGAGAGACTTAACCCAGCCCTGTCTCTTCAGCTCACGGACAAGACCAACAGGTTTCTTTTCTTCTGTGCAACCACGTTCAGGGGGAAGAGCCTGGGTACTAAAAGGTTTTGTATTTGGCAGGCAAAGGAAGGAGGAACAAAAGCGGGAGCTGAGCACGGACAACTCCAAGTGGAAAAGAGGCACATGCTGCTTACAATGAGGGTGAGTAACTATTGGAACAAATTAGCAAGGGACTTGTTGGTTTAAGAGCGCTTATATTTAAAAGATTACATTTCATAAAACATTTTTTTCCTGTTAGAGGTTATATGTCCAACACGTGCGACTCACGACTCCCTGGCACTGCGCTGGAGTTGTGGCCAGTGGCACCAGGAGGAAGTACCAGTTACCTTACTGGAGGCAGCTGTGAGGACTAGTTTAGACATTAAAAAACCCTTAAAAAGCAAAAGCAAAATACATGCACTTGTTCAGGATTTGGACAATGCAAGAGGACTTTCAGGCAATTAACTGGAATTTTACCTAGGGGAGAACTTGCTGTGGTGGTAGATAACATGTCAGAGGTTTATGGTCCAGCTGGAGAGCGGCACTGAGCAGGGATGACCTGGAGGTTTGAGCCCTCAGTAACCATGTGCCCAATTCCCAGTGAGTCTTTCAAACAATCCAATTAACTACAAACACAAGTGTGGAAGCAAATTAGCTGCAATCCTGCTTCATTGCAAAACTACAGGGACATGTCAGGCAGGGAAGTTGCACTGATTGAGGCTGTGTTTGTATAGCAGGTAGGAATTTCAAAAGTTTTGTTGTGCTTTTATTTTCCAGAAGTTACCCAGCCTCCAGCCAAGAAGGGGTATTTGCAGCCCTCCAGCCCTTTAAAAAAGTGAAGCAGGAACAGGACAGAAGGAACAGAATCTGTCACTGAACTCGTTTGTAAGAGAAGCAGGAGGTTGCTAAAAGCCAGCTTGTAACTTGGCACAGCAGCCACACAGGGGTGAGTAACAGCTGCACACACAGTGTGGGTAAAGATAGAAATTCATTGGTCGTAACGAGATATAAAAAATTTGAAGCATCCAGAGTAGTTCCAAAGTGGTTCCATTTTTGTTTGTTCCAAAAGTGTGTAGAGATGTTGTAGGGGATGAAACCCAGGGCCCAGACTTGCCCTGCTCAGTCAGTGATGCAGGACTGGGGCTAGTACCTGGCAAAGCCCAGCTGACCTCTCTGCCCCCCTCCAGCCCTGTGGGCTGCTGGGCTCCAGGGACAGACTGAGCTGCTTCCAGGGCCAGCTGCTTTCCCACTGTGGGGAAAGCAGGAACAGACCCCCCTGCCCAGCCTTGCTGCACCAGGAGCTCGGGGGAAGCTCATTCACACATCTCTGAGTGCCTCAGTCTGGGCACAAGCCAAGCTTAGGACTTTCAGCCCAGCCCAGCTCTGCCCAGGGCTCCCCTGCAGCAGCTTGGACACCTTTGCTCTGCGGTGTTCCAGGTTTTAGGGAAGATTATTAACATTTATACTGATCCCACGCCTCTAAGCCTTTCCTGAAGCTGAAGAGCTCAGCTCAGGTTCCACAGCAGTGGTTCCACAGCTGATCAGCCCCCCAGTCCTGCACAGGCCTGGGCCAGGTCAGCCTCTGCCTGGCAACCCCTTCTCCAGCAGCTCTGAGGGGCAAAATCTTTCTATACATCCTCCCATCCACACACCAAACCATTTGCCCCAACTTCACCACTGCAGGAAATTCAGCCTTGCACAGAAACTTTACTCCAGTAAAGTCTCAGTCTCAGTTGCAGCACAGGGAAATCCCAGAGGCTGGTGGCTGTTATTTACTTAAGTGACATTTTAATTATGCAGAAGATGTTGGAGGATGCACAGGCTGCAAATTAGGGCTTCTCTCCTCTTCTGACAATGATATTTTAATTCCCATAGACTTAATACTCACTGCAGACTTGAGACGGTTCACAAGCAGGTACTGAACTAAAAATGCAGCAGGACAGAGTTAAATGATGAAAAAAACCCTCCAGAGCTGCAGAGACAAAAATGAAAATAAAGCACCAAACCCACTGTGGCTGGAAAGGCTTTTCCTTTCAGGCTTGTTAGTGAAGGGCTGGAGCTCCTTAATTTCAGACACATACAGAGACTTCCTGAAATGAATTCAAGATGACACCCAATAGCCAAGACAGCCACTGCTAATTATTTAATTACATCATGTATTGAAACCTGCATGGAGACAACTGAAGAATCTGTCTCCAATGTAAACACTTCAGCATTGATAAAAACCAGAAAGCAGGAATTACAAAAGGCACCTTCTCCAAAATCTGAATGAATCACCTCAGCAGAACCCATTTATATATCACAGACTGGTTTGGGTTGGGAGGGACCTCAAAGGGGACCTCGTTCTATAAATATTTCAAACTCTTCAAGGTCCAGGATACTGTAAAGACCTTTTGCAATCAGCTCATGTTTGCCACTGGATATCTGCAACATGAATGAATCTCACACAAGCAAATTTAATTTGATGGTACCATGACAGTGTGTAGGTGTAAAGAGGCACAAAATTTCATTGTTGCCTTCAGAAAAATTAATAACAAGTACACAAACTGTGCTGTGAGGGTGGCCTCAGGTTAAATTACTAATATTGCTCTAAGCAAGGCCAAAAAATCAAATGCTTCCAATTATTATTGTCTTGCAAGTGTGTTATTTGTGGGTGGCTGGAAGCACTTATAACAACAAAACCACCCTGAGAAGGACTCAAACAAGGCAAGAACCTCACAAACCAAACAACCACCAAGCCTTTATTACAAAGAACCAGGATTCCAGAGCTTGTGTCCATGGTGCTGCCAGTCACAACCACCTGCTGAGTGGATTCCCTAATTCCCAGGACACCACAAGCCTTTGTTCCTGGCCTCAGGTGGGTGAGTGTTTGGATTCACCTGAACTGCTTCCTAGAATTTTGTTGCCAGCACTGAGTGGGCTAAAACAAGGAACCTCCCTTTTGGATGAGCCAAACACCACATGGGAAGGGAAAAAATACTTTAAAAAATAATAAATCACACACTGGACACAGTTATCACTACGAGAAGTCAAATGACTTGCTTTACATCCACACTGCAAATAATTTCACAAGCAGGAAAATGAATATACTGAGTCTCATCCCCTGGGGAGGGTGAAGGGTGTTTGGGATCCTGTCGCTGGGACGTGCAAGAACACAGGCAGAGCCAGACTGAATCCATGTTATCTGTTGTTGTTTGGGTTTTGAACAAAATTGATGGAGTATGAGCCAGTTGATGAATCCTGTTTTATCTGGAAGTTTTCTGTTGACAGGCCAAAGGGGCGGAGAACTAAATTCCCAAGATCCTTCAGTTTGCCTGCAATGAAAATCCAAGAGAACACGGTGAGAACTGAGCAAAAAGAAAACTCCCATTGAATTATGCCCAACTACAGTCCAGCTCTACTGATTTACCCATTAATTTCAGGTAATGCTGTGGAAATTTCTGCATTTTGGTAATATTTAGGCTCTTAGCAGGAATTAGAAATCATTGTTAAATATTCACAGGGTATGACAGTTAATAAAATCTAAAGACTTCTGTCAATATATATGTATCATACAGGCTTTCTCACTCTAGAAAATTAATCTTGCTACACCTATAAGAGGAGAAGAACAACAAAAGGACATATTTTAAAAAAAATCATATATAGAAATGATAGAATAGATGAAATGAAAAAAGAAGCAGAGGTAACAACTTCACTGTTGGCTGAACACAGGGTGACTGAGCCCCTGGCATGACAAGACAAAGGAAGAAGATGGTCAGTTTTCCAAGAAAAACGTTATTTTCCACCTGGCTTCACTGATGAACTGTAGACTGATTTCCCAAAGAACAAACAAGAGAAGTCTGGACAAGTTGAAGCCTAACCTGAGTTTGCATCCCCAGACTACACATCACCTCCTCAAAGCCTTCCACCTGCACTGATCCCTCAGGGCAGTGAATGGATTTTGTTTTGCTGGGAGTTGAATGTGACAACAGCAATAGCTGACACAGAAAATCCACCTGAGCAGCTGCAGCAGCCACAGTCCTGTAAGAAAACATGCAAATGCCACACCTATTGCTACCTGAGGTGCTTCCAGTCATGGGAAACACCTGTCACTGTGGTCACCTCACCTGGGTTCTGTTTGGTGCTAGGCCAGACTGGAGCAGTAGAATCATGGAATAGTTTGGGTTGAAAGGGATCTTAAAGTTCATCTCGTTCCAGTCCCCCTGCCATGGGCAGGGACACCTTCCACTATCCCAGGTTGCTCCAAGCCCCACTCAACCTGGCCTTGGACACTTCCAGGGATGGGGCAGCCACAGCTTCTCTGGGTAACCTATGCCAGGGCCTCACCACCCTCACAGCCAAGAATTTCTTCCCAATATCTAATCTAAACCTACTCTCTGTCAGTTTGAAGCCATTCCCTCTTGTCCTGTCACTACAGTTTCTGATGAACAGTCCCTCTCCAGCTTCCTTGTAGCCCCTTCAGATACTGGAAGGGGCTCTGAGGTCTCCACACAACCTTCTCTTCTCTGGGCCGAACAGCCCCAACTCTCAGCCTGTCTCCAGGGGGGAGGTGCTCTATCCCCTTACCAACTTCGTGGCCTCCTCTGAACTTCACAGCAGGGAGAAAGAAGTACAGAAACATGAGCAGGAAAGCCCCGTGTCAGGTCTTTACAGAAAGATCAAGATGTGTGCTTTGCCTGTGACTGTGCTCAAAACAGAACATATCCAAGTCTCAAAAAAAACCAACCTTACCCCTGACCCTACCAAAGCAGCTGAGTGGTGAGACACAATTTTTCTTCAGTTTGACTGTTTTTTAATGTGAGGATTAACAGGAGGTGGTTCAGGGATCTGGCCAAAGTCACTCCAGAGAGCAGCTCAGGTAGGATTAACTTCTTTGTACTGGTGGTGGGTTTTTTTTAAGATACACCCTGTTTAAGGTAAGTTAACTATTAACCTCATACCTTTATGCTGCACTCTAAAAGCATTTTGGTTATAAAACCATGAAGTTGTTTGGTAGCATCTCTGTGAGTGACAGGAATAGTTGCTATTGTACTTCTGGGCAAACATTTGGTCATTGCTGAGCTTCAGGTTTGGGGTGAGACGTGTCTTTGTGTGGTGGGAGAAGCCTGGCAGAGTCTGGCATGGCTGGAGTCCCCCAGGCCCTGCAGCTGGTTTGCCTGTGTCAGGAAACTGTGAAAGGTCTTTTCTAATTGCAGGGAGCACGATGCTCTTTTCCAGGCACTCCAGAGCCAATAAACACATCCCAGATGCCTCGGGATCCTGCAGCTGGGGCAGCTCTCTGGGAGAACCGAGACCATATGATAGATTTAGTACTTTATTCTTCATCTCACTGCGACTGAATAATTCAAACAACACAGTCACAGGTCACCTTCCTGTTCTATCACTTCATTCCACAGACAGCAATGGCTCTGGGGCAGCCACACTGAATATAAATTGTTAATGAGGCAGAAGAAAGCCTTGGCTTTTCCGGGAACTCCAGCCCAGAGCTGCTCCTGGCACACATAAACCCATCATTGTAGAGAAGCAGTGTTTCCTCCTCCCCCACCTCCTTTCATCCCTAAATTAGGATCTGTAGTTAAGAAAAGCTCTCTTAGCACAGAGCCTGTGCTTGGAGGAAGGAAAAGGCACGTGGGGCTGGAACTCAGCTGCAGAGAGTCCCCAGCCATCACACACTCCTTGTCCCCAGGCAGGGTCACACTCTCCTCTCTGAGACCTTATTTTCATAGATTTTGTTCTTTTTGTTTTAGAGAGACCATGTCTACTTTTCATCTGCAACTCCAGCACATTAAGTTTCTTCAACAAAGCAATATTCAGGGGTTAAAGAGAAAACTCATTGGTAAAAATCAATTTAGGCCTCAGAAGTCTGTGATTCATCACTCACCTAAACTGCAATTCAACACCCCATTGAAAAAGGCAAATGTAGGAAAAGATTCCTCACAATTAACAGCCAAAATTAATTGCTATTCAGTCTTTCTGGCAATAATTCTAGTGTATTTGCTGGTATTAATGTGGTGTTTGGAAGTTGAAAAGCTACATATTGTTTGTGTTAAGATTCTTTTTTGGATAAAAGATTTCCTGATGAGGTCTCCTCTCTGTGTAACTTTCTGTATTACCAACATTTTTTAAGCAATAAAAACAGCAAGGGCAAATCTTTCTCCTTTCCCCAAAATGCTGAGGACTGAACTGTAGGAAGCTGTATATTAGCTCTGGTTTAACTATTTAAAGTGATCTTCCTATATGCACTATTGGGATTTAGCAGCTTAGTTGCAAATACAACATAACCTTCAGTATCCAAAAAACCCCCAGAAAAAATAATTCTCTAGGTATGAAGCCTTATAAATATTTTTGCTGATCTCAGGTAGCTGGAAAAGCTCTTTTTGTCAGGAAGGCCCAGTGATGTGGTCTGAGAGCCTTCCCAGCCATACACTGATAATCCAGTACAGTTCCCTATTTTCTGCAAGGCACTCATTTATCCAGTTTTTAATTTGATTTGATGAACTCTGTGTGTGTAAGATGGGCTACACACATTGGCAAATTCAATCCCAGGTTTTTGTATCCAATATCTTTGGTTACCCTGTAGCTGTATTGTTGTCACACCCCCCAAGCTCTTCTAACTATCCAAACTTCCCCTCTCCTCACACTCTCTCCTCAAAGGAGTGGTCCTAGTTATCACAATAATTATAGTGTCTCTAAACAAGACTTGCTTGTTGCACAAGAGCTGGAAATCTTTGGCTTTGAGGTCAGAAGAGAAATACAAAAGAAGAGAGAAAATGGTCACTGTGTGTTCACATCCTTGGACAGACTCTGAGGCAGAGGATACTCATTCTATGAAAGCACAAAGGGAAAGATCCAAATGGATTTCAAAGCTACTTCCCAAATGTGCTCTAAGGTAAGCTTTCTTTGATGTGGAACTCAGAGGTCACTTCAGCCTGAGCAAACTTCAGTGACAAAAGAATTGACCTGCAAAGGCTGAATGGAAAACATGAAAATAACTTACAAATACAAACGTCAGCTTCGGAAAAGTAAGATCCTTGCAGAACACACAGCTCAAATGGACTTGGTTTGGCCACAAAATAGGATTTTTCTAGTGACATTGACTTCATCAGTCACATGCAGCACCACTTGCACAAAAGAATTCCTCCTTAGGTAGTCAGGAAGGAAAAATTTAGCCAAGAATGTGTACTCTGACTTATTTACACAAAATCACTTCAGAAGTGGTTTCAGCTTCTGACAAACTATGTGGTAATGAGCTGTAGCACTGGAAAACAGGAAACACACTTGGGGAGGGAGGAAGATGCACCCTATTTATTTTGGTTTGTTTATATACAGCTCCAGTTTTCAGGACAGTGGGAGTTAGTTGGGTACCTCTGGATTTGTTTTAGTGAAAGAATAAAAGCTTAGCATTTATTTGGCTGATTCATTGACTAAGACAAGGACCAACTCAATATCCAAACTTCAAAGGAGCCAAAGCATGAACTGGGACATTCTTTCTAAAGATTTTGTTGGTAAGTTCAATTTAGTATCAGTGCTCTTGGAGCAGGCCTAGCCTGGAACTATTAGGATGCATCTGACTTGGTCTCCTGGAACCAAAATATCTGGAGTACAACCCAGATACCTGAGCTGACCCTGTGAGAAGTCAAGAAGGCACCTGGCACTGCTGAACCCTCAGTCAGAGCATCCCCTGACAGATTGCCACAAGCCATTGTCTATCCTGACACAGAACTGCCTTGGGAAGCAGCATTAACAAAGGTCTGGAAAAAGACAAGCGGAAACAGCTCAGAACAAATACACTGTACAACAAAAACAGTCCAAAGGAATCTCATAACCACCACACGATATCAAGTCTGTTGTCTTCCAGAATTCCCATCTAACCCTCCTTCTTCATTGTAAGGGTTTTTCCCTGACCTCAGACAGAATAGGAGCAGTTTGTAAACCTCAGGAAGTATTTAATTCCCAGGCCCCCACGGGTAGCTCCATAACCTCACCACTGTCTCTCCTACCAACAAGATATAGGGAATCTTACAACACTTAAGAAAATGAGCTGCCCATATTCCTGACTTAATTTCAAGTGTTCTATTCAGAGAATAAATTATAGAAACCCCCTCAGTTTGTATTACATTGGGGACCACAAGCAGTGCTAAGAGTATAATATCACCTGCCTCACTGACACCATCTAATTTAACAACACGTGACAATTTAGATGAATCCTGTCACACACAAAGGTTGTGGATGAACACAAGGTTATATGTTGTACTGTCCACTCTTAGTCTGGTTCTCCTGGCTGTTTGTAACTCCTTGTATGTTTGTAACATCATTGAGAAGGAATTTATTTCTTAAGAACCCAATTAAAATTTTTGAACTGGTTGCCAAACGACCAGTTCATTTCTGCAATGCTAACTGCCACTTTTAAAGTTTTACCCCTTCTAAAAAAGATCACATATAGTCTGAAATCTAGGCAAAAAAATAGCAGTATAGAACCAGGTTTGAATTTATTGTTTCATCCTTTGTGATTGGTGAGGCCCTTTAGAGTTCAAAAAAGATCAGGAATTTTCATATTATTTTGTGCTGAGACCCATCCCATCTCCTACAAATGGGCCTGATCCTTCTGGAGATTTTCTGCATTTCTCATTTATTTATAGCACTATCAACCTTCTTTATTTATGGCTTGTTCTAAGTACAATAGTGGAAACAGAATCTGATCCTTAAAGCCTTAGAAAGCCTCACTGACACTTTGCCAGGTCAGAGCAGGTACAAAGCAAGAGCAAATCAGTGTCTGCAGATCAAGAAAAGAAATTACAGAAAAATATCAGCTTCAGCACAACCCCTTGAAACAGTCTCTTCTTCCTAAATATATTAAGAATCAGTGTCAGAGTTAGACAGGCTGAGTTTATTTAACCTGATTCTCTGCAGAACAGCAAAACCCTGCCTTCCCCTTCCCATCACAAACCCTCCAAGCCTACTCATCTTGAAACAGCATTTCATCTCCTGCCTGTCACACCCAGAACGAGCAGAGAGCTCCTGGGAGCTGTTTCTGAAGCAGGGCAGGTACAGTCTCTCTTACACTGTCACTGGTCTTTGCTCTTTTGTGTGGCTTTTCTAAACAGTGCAAATGAAAAATCTATATTAAAAAAACCCCTCACTTGAAAAAGCACAAGGATGTCTGAACCTGTAAGAATTAACTAACCCTGTTAATGAGGAGACAACGTTGACAGCAGCCTTTTTTTGGCATGAGGTTCCCTTCAAAAGTGTTAGTTTAACCATATAATTGTTTTATTTATTAATTTATTTATTTATTTCATTTATACTTAATGTTACACAGGAAAACCAACCTTGCTTGGGCACTCTAAGTATTTATCCTTTTCAAATACATCAACCCAGTTAAGATGTTATCCAAGCAATACCACACAACATGGTGAGGGGGGCACAGACATTCAGATGAGTTGCATTAATTAAATTATCTTTTCTACAAACAAGTCCTTTGTTGTAGAACTGTAAAGAATCAAGACACAATGAACTGTGCCATTAGGAAATGTAATCACACAAGGCCTGGGTAGGTCTAATTCAGTCTCCAAACAAACAGTAATGAAATACTGTATAAAACAAGGTAAACATGAAGACTTGGAGGTCTGTAGGTTGGAAGTGCCACAGAAAGAATCAAATTTATTTCTTCAGACACAAGATCAAACACCCTCAGTTATTACAGCTGGGTGACTTCTTTAACATAAAGGTTTGGTGAAAGCCCTGGTTTATCCCTTCCACGGGAATGTTTGCTTTGAAGGTTTATTGCAGGGAAAGGGCAGAGCAGTTGGTCTGTTTCAAACCATTTTCCCCAGCTTTTACATACTTCAATATGAAATCGTTTTAGAAGGTCTTAAGTATCCTTTCTTTAAATGTAATTTTCTTTCTGGGAGAATTATTTTGGCCAGCACTTACTGTAGGTGACACCAAGAAACAGAGAACTACAAAGAAATCAGGAGTTTTGTTTAACGCAACTATTTCCTTTAAGATTTACCTTCTTAAATTTTACACAAGAGATTCTATTCATGCTTTTTTATCTTTTTTTTCCAGTAGTCTATGAAGGTTATTATGGAAGTTATATTTACATGCTACTTACCCAACATTTCTTTCTTTAGTTTTTCATTCCTTTCTTCAATTTGTCTCGGTAATCGCTGTGGAGAGAGAGAAAAACTGGAATCAGACCCATGCTTTCAATAATGCTGTAGGGTAAGATGATGGGATTTTTATACACATATCCAGGATACATTTCTCACTCCAGAAATGTATTTGTATGTGCTTATGGACACCTGTTTGTCTGGTGCCTGTGATACTTATCTCAAAGTACAGCTTCTGGTAAAGCAGTTTATCTGTCCTGCCAATCCCTCAAAAACTGTGTGGAAGCTAAAAATTCACATAACATTTACACACCTGTTAAAAACAAAACCTAAATATCGACTCCATATAATTAAACCTTCAGGAAAGCAGCAATAGGGATTATTTGACCACGAAACATGATCAATTCAAACTGGTTAGTTTGGCATTGAAGGTTCAAAAGTAACTGAAGTAGTGACACCAGGGTTTAAATCAGAAAACCAGTCCTGCACTCCTGAAATATAAACAGAGCTGAAATACCAGAGCAGGTACCAAATCAGGAGTCAAAGCAAAGAACTACTGTGTATTTATTATTTTAAATCTGTCATTTAACAAGGTCATGACACTCCCTAAAGCAGGATATGAAATCATTTCTAGGTACAGAAAGGAGGAAGATTTGCTGTAACAGTGAGTGGGGCAAATTTGCAGATTCTCTTGCTGCATCATTTTCATTGCCAGCGAGGGGGAAAAACTGCTGTGATATTTCTGCAAAGCAGAGGCACTTTTACCTTCCAATAAAGCAAAGCTCCTACATGTCAGATACATTAACCACATATGTGGTGTCAACATTACAGCTGAAATTGGTTTATGGTGAAATTTAGAGATTTATGATGAATACTTGAAGAAGTTCCCTAATGATTTTTCAAGAGAGAAGTTTTAAGCTTCAGCCTCGATAGATTCATTCTCCCCTGAAACTTGACAAAGAGCAGGACCAACTCGGGGCAGAACATCCTAAATCCCACTGCAGTGTAAATTGAGGGCATTTTGTACAAAGTGTTCTGCACCACATGTGAGCCCTGCCTGGAAAAATGAGGTCAAGGAGCAGAAGGTACGTGTATCAGTCAACCTCTGCACTTCCAGCCACGAAAATTAAGAATAAATCACTGATTATTCTAAAATATTCCTGGAAGATGGCCAGGAGGAACAGCAGCACTTATGATTCACTGGGGACTGAGCAAGGGCTCTTTTGTGAGATTATTAAGAGGCACAGTCTCTGAGAGAAAATGATGGTTTTGCTTGAGGTATAAAGGGCAGTGTCTGTACTTTCAGGGGGTTCCAACCAGCCTAAACAGATCCAGCCATTCCCGAGGGTCAGACTGAGAATCACAGAGTATCCTGAGCTGGAAGGGATCCACAGGGATCAAGTCCAGCTCCTGGCCTGGCACAGGACACCCCAGCAATCCCACCAGGAGTCTGAGAGCGTTGTCCAAACACTCCTTGAGCTCTGGCAGCCTTGGGGCCGTGCCCACTGCCCTGGGGAGCCTGTCCAGCCTTGAGCTGGTCCCACCCTGGCACAAGGGAAGCCCCTGCACAGCCCTGCAGGCAGCAAAGGTTTGCAGGTCAGCTCAGCTGCTCTGTGGAATCACACCCTTACCCATAACAGGAGTTACACAGTTAAGCAGCACATTTTTCCACCATCAGTGCAACTGATCCAGTCCCAAAGGAAATCATTTCAGGCAAGATTTCTTGCCTAATATGCCATAAAGGCCGTTTCTAATCTGTCACTTACAACACCACAGTATGGGGAAAGGGTGAGGGAGAATCACTACTAATGATTTATTTTCCCAACTGGAGAGTTAAAACAATTAAGCCTTTCAAAAATATTTTTGTAACAACACATTCAAAGGGGTTTTAGAGTCAAATTTGCAGGTGATGCAAATAATTTTTTTCTTTCTGGGGTAGAATCCATTGCAGGTTCACTGATGTGAAGCTGAACTAAAATAATGGTGCCCTTTGAAAATTTAACCAGCTATAAATAAAGTATTGGCACAGATTTGGGTGCCCAACTAAGAATTACATTTTCAAATTGCAGCCATTTATCTTTACTGGTTTTTTTCTTTTTTTACATTTACATAAGTAAGGAATAGTTTGCTTGTTGTTTTCCCTGCTCAGCTCTTCCCAGGTTCTCTGGTGTCCACAAACCATTCCCCTGCCATGCCTTGCAGCTCCCACTTGGATAAAAAGTGGCAACCCCTGCATTTTTCAGAGTGGCTGCCTTTCATCAGCACATGTTCCTTCAAAACCACACCTGTCTGGCTGCACCTCTACCACATCTGTCCTTTCAACAGAGCCTCCATAACCTCTTTCCAAAAGCAAGAGCAGCAACCTCTAAGAGGAGTTTGCAGAAAACAGACTTCCCTTCTTGCTACCTTTGTGAAAAGCCTCTCTGAACTTGTCAAATCCAGAGCTACTTCCACACTGAGCATTAACACACTAAATATCACCAGAAAAATCACTTCCTGCTGTGCTTTGCACAAAGAGTTACTTAAAGCTCAAATCAGCAGGTTGTGGCAGTGACTTCAAATCCCCACTGAGGAGGGATTATTTACATGTTAGGCTGGGCTTTCAGGAAGTGCTAGGGGTTGATCTTTTTTCATCCAAGCTGACACATCCTAAAAGCCAAGGAAGCTTTTAAAGCACTTCCTTACATGTACAAAGATATGGCCAAGATTTTGCAAGAAATGTTTCATTCTGAAGTATTTGTAATTTGATTGAAAGTGGTGAAAGTGGACACTGGAACACAGGACTGAGCTGAAGAATTACTAAGCTGCAGATTTTTTTTATATTAGAAGAAAGTAACTGAATCAGAAGAGGCTGTTTGCTAGTCACAAAGTGCCTTTCCCTGCAGGAAAAGGCTGAGGTTTTGAAGATAAATGGCAGACTTCAGTCACCATTAGTAAAATAACTCAAACTGCCCAATCCACACAGAAGGCACAGCAGAGAACAAGAAGGGAGAACAGCTAAATCGAGAAACAAAATATCAACATTTTAAAGTAGGTACAAACATACAGACTGAGGGAATCCTGTCTTTTTTCCATTCTCAAAATTATATAATCAAATCATAAAAAAAAAGTTAGTTATGCAAATTAACCAGTCAGAAAAATAATTCTCCTGAAAGACAGACACTCAGTTATGAACCAGCCAGTAAGAGCTGCATTACAGGGCACTTCTACTCTGACCTCCAAATTGCAGATCTGTATTGAAATGGTGGCACTAATATGCAGCAGGTTCAGGCAACCTCTTCTAGCACCTGCAGAAATACAATTAACAGCCTTGATCAGAGAACTGGAAAGTGTGTGTGTGTGAGCTGTTCAACAGGTCATGAGACGCTCAGAGCTCAGAACACACATTTACTTTCACTCCTTTTACAAAGGTAAAAGGAGGATTCTGCTTTATGGACCAGAGACCTGTCATGGAATTTGTGGCAGATCATTCAATCTTCCTTATGTAAAACCAGGTGAGAAAACCACTACTCGTTAAGACTTGAAAAAACAGTTATACCACTGCATAGGAAGCTGCTTAAACAAACAGCATTGAATATTTAGAATAGGAAAGGAAGTCAAAATTAGATGTAAAGTTAGGCCAAAGTACAAAAGGCTTACCATGCAAGCTTCTCTGGCTTGATGAACTGATGGGTCTTTTTCTAGGATTGCCTTATAATCTTCCAGAGCTTCATCTAGTTTTTCTGTTTTTTCATATAGTTCTGCTCTCCTCAGCAAAGCTCTAATATAGTGAGGGTCTAATTCCACAGCTGGAAAACAAAACCAAAGCACAGTATTTTACTTGAGACATTTCTACACCCCTTAAACGAATTCTTAAGTGTATATTAAATTCTTAAGTTACCTTTATAATGTAACTTAGAATCAAGCAGAGCTTAAAAGCTCAGTCAGAATTCAGAAAGGCAAACAGCTGCCTGGGAAAGTCTCATGCAAATGATCATATTTCACTTAATGTCCATAATCTATCACAGATGGAAGTGATTTATAATGTACAAACATTTAATTTTGCAATACTATATATGCAGAGATTCTAAGTGATGCTTCAGAAAGTTTAAGGACCTGTAAGATGTTTCAGCTTCTGTGTATTTAACAAGTGTATGTTATTTAATCACAGATAAATATACCTGAAGATACACATAGCAGGGAAAATAAGCATTTCCATGCTTATCTCAGTTCAAGTTGAGACAAACTCCAGGAGAATTACTGGTGCTGTTCTGAATTTAGTATCAAACTGTCAAAATTGGGTTGGGAATCCACAAACAGTTATTTTAGCTTTACAAGTCAGCAGAGGGGCATCCTAACTGCATTTAAGCTCTTTCTCTCCTCGTTCCCTTGGCAGCCATGACTGTTTTCAGTAGCAGTTCAGACTGAATGCTAAACTTAACAGGAACCTCCAAATGGTAATTCCTCAAGAACTCCTGAATCCATTCTTCATCACAAAAAAGAGGGCGTATGAAAGATTTTTCATCACAGAAAGAGGGAATATGAAAGGTCTGTCCATTTTGTGATTACTACCCATTAAAATGGTTCTAGGGACAATTAAATCCAGGATTATCTAACTAAACATTCTAGCTTATTTCCTCTGGAAGGACAAAGGCAATGCTACAGTCAGCAAGTGCAGGCTAGTGTGAATTGCTCTGCTGTGCTCCAAGTGTTGCACTGCAGTCTGTAAGTCCCTGGGGAGTGTCAGGCACTGGCAGTTTTAAGTCTCTCTGCTGCAGAGCAGATTGATTCCCCTTCAGCCACTACAAAATTAGAACTGTTTTTCAAACTGCACCACCACCAAAGCAAGTCAAACTCCCCAGTGACAGAGGCCAGCTGGGATTTGGTACCTTCAAGAGTACTTTTAGCATGTACAAACTCATATTTACTGTACAAGCAGTACTGGCATACAGCCACTGGATTAGTTTTCTGATTGGTAATTTGGGCTTTTTTTCCCCAGCTGTCATGGGGAGTTTAACAAATATTCGAGTGTGGGTGAGTGGGTGGGAGCAATAAAGCAAAGCACAGCTGAAATGATTCCACCAGAAGGTGCAGAGAGAAAACTATGCAGGGCAGGAATGGGAGAGCACAAGCCCTTGTGACAAAGCAAAAGCTGTGCAGAAAAGGGACTTGATTATGCTTTTAACTCTGTAAGGCCTCACAGTTCTTTGGAATCTGGGATTAAACCAAGATTTGGCAGAGAATGGCAGGTGGAAGTGGGTTTAAAATAGTAGGTGTAAGGAAACAGTTTCCATAGTAAAAAGACTTTCCTCTTAAAAAGAAGTACAAAGAGCAGCATTATTGGTACAAGACAATTATTCCAGACAAGAAAAATTTGATAGACATTTAAAAAAGAAATAATACAAATCAGGTGTGTTCCATCACAGCTTTCCATTAAATTCTTTAAACACCCTTGTGCCCAAAATTACAGCTCTGCAATAAGGCACTAACTGGCATAATTTATGCAGGAGAGATCTGGCAGAAATGCAGCACACAGAGGAAAAAAAAAGTGGTACCTTTGGTGCAGTCACTCAGAGCAGCTTCTGTCTTGTCCTACAAAGAACACAACACAGTTTTGTTAGATTTAAGTCATATTTCTTCATGATGGTGATGGAGTCCCCATCCCTGGGGGTGTTCAAGGAATGACTGGATGTGGCACTCAGTGCTTTGGGCTGGTTGGCAACTTGGTGATGGGTCACAGGTTGGTCTCAATGATCTTGGAGGTCTTTTCCAACCTCAGTGATTCTCTGATTCTTGGGAAACAGATTATTTACAACTGCAAATAAACAGGTTTGTGTGGCATTCCAAGGAACTGGGATATTTTTGTAATCGGGGATCCTGTTTTCATCTAAACTAAAAGGTCTTA